TTTAACATCTTGAAAATTTACCCGGTCTAAAATTTTCAATCGTCAAGTTACTATCCTTAATCAGTCCAACTATCCCAGTTATTTCTGCTGCTCTTGGTTAAATTCTCCTAAATCTTCTCAATATTCTCGTCTGATACCTCCCTTCCATTATTCTTCATTTCATTACCGTAAGTATTCTTTGTTCGCCGTTTGAATTATACGATCTTTCAACGGTGGAAAATTGATTAAGATAGCTAACTTGACCTATTTAACATCTTGAAAATTTACCCGGTCTAAAATTTTCAATCGTGAAGTTACTATCCTTAATCAGTCCAACTATCCGAGTTATTTCTTCTGATCTAGGTTAGATTCTTCTAAGTCTTCACAATTTTCTCTTCTGATACCTCCCTTCCATTATTCTACATTTTATTCCCGTAAGTATTCTTTGTTCGCCGTTTGAATTATACGATCTTTCAACGGAGAAAAATTGATTAAGATACTGTAGATAACTTGAGCTATTTAACATCTTGAAAATTTACCCGGTCTAAAATTTTCAATAGTCAAGTTACTATCCTTAATCAGTCCAACTATCCCAGTTATTTCTGCTGCTCTTGGTTAAATTCTCCTAAATCTTCTCAATATTCTCCTAACTTGACCTATTTAACATCTTGAAAATTTACCCGGTCTAAAATTTTCAATCGTCAAGTTACTATCCTTAATCAGTCCAACTATCCAAGTTATTTCTTCTGCTCTAGGTTAGATTCTTCTAAATCTTCCCAATATTCTCTTCTGATACCTGCCTTCCATTATTCTTCATTCCATTCCCGTAAGTACTCATTGTTCGCCGTTTGAATTATACGATCTTTCAACAGAGAAAAATTGATTAAGATAGCTAACTTGACCTATTTAACATCTTGAAAATTCACCCGGTCTAAAATTTTCAATAGTCAAGTTACCATCCTTAATCAGTCCAACTATCCAAGTTATTTCTTCTGCTCTAGGTTAGATTCCTCTAAATCTTCACAATATTCCCTTCTGATACCTCCCTTCCATTATTCTTCATTTCATTCCCGTAAGTATTCTTTGTTCGCCGTTTGAATTATACGATCTTTCAACGCAGAAAAATTGTTTAAGATAGATAACTTGACCTATTTAACATCTTGAAAATTTACCCGGTCTAAAATTTTCAATGGTCAACTTATTATCCTTAATCAGTCCAACTATCCAAGTTATTTCTTCTGCTCTAGGTCTAAATCTTCACAATATTCTCTTCTGATACCTGCCTTCCATTATTCTTCATTCCATTCCCGTAAGTACTCATTGTTCGCCGTTTGAATTATACGATCTTTCAATGGAGAAAAATTGATTAAGATAGCTACCTTGATCTATTTAATATCTTGAGCATTTACCAGGTTTAAAATTTTCAATAGTCAAGTTACTATCCTTAATCAGTCCAGCTATCCAAGTTATTTCTTCTGCTCTAGGTTAGATTCTTCTAAATCTTCCCAATATTCTCTTCTGATACCTGCCTTCCATTATTCTTCATTCCATTCCCGTAAGTACTCATTGTTCGCCGTTTGAATTATACGATCTTTCAACAGAGAAAAATTGATTAAGATAGCTAACTTGACCTATTTAACATCTTGAAAATTTACCCGGTCTAAAATTTTCAATCGTCAAGTTACTATCCTTAATCAGTCCAACTATCCAAGTTATTTCTTCTGCTCTAGGTTAGATTCTCTAAATCTTCCCAATATTCTCTTCTGATACCTGCCTTCCATTATTCTTCATTTATTCCCGTAAGTATTCTTTGTTCGCCGTTTGAATTATACGATCTTTCAACGCAGAAAAATTGTTTAAGATAGATAACTTGACCTATTTAACATCTTGAAAATTTACCCGGTCTAAAATTTTCAATGGTCAACTTATTATCCTTAATCAGTCCAACTATCCAAGTTATTTCTTCTGCTCTAGGTCTAAATCTTCACAATATTCTCTTCTGATACCTGCCTTCCATTATTCTTCATTCCATTCCCGTAAGTACTCATTGTTCGCCGTTTGAATTATACGATCTTTCAATGGAGAAAAATTGATTAAGATAGCTACCAGATTCCTTGAAAATTTACCCGGTCTAAAATTTTCAATGGTCAACTTATTATCCTTAATCAGTCCAACTATCCAAGTTATTTCTTCTGCTCTAGGTCTAAATCTTCACAATATTCTCTTCTGATACCTGCCTTCCATTATTCTTCATTCCATTCCCGTAAGTACTCATTGTTCGCCGTTTGAATTATACGATCTTTCAATGGAGAAAAATTGATTAAGATAGCTACCTTGATCTATTTAATATCTTGAGCATTTACCAGGTTTAAAATTTTCAATAGTCAAGTTACTATCCTTAATCAGTCCAGCTATCCAAGTTATTTTTTCTGCTCTAGGTTAAATTCTTTTAAATCTTCACAATATTCTCTTCTGATACCTGCTGTCCATTATTCTTCATTTCATTCCCGTAAGTATTCTTTGTTCGCCGTTTGAATTATACGATCTTTCAACGGAGAAAAGTTGATTAAGATAGCTAACTTGACCTATTTAACATCTTGAAAATTTACCCGGTCTAAAATTTTCAATCCTTCTCTTATTCTACATTTTATTCCCGTAAGTATTCTTTGTTCGCCGTTTGAATTATACGATCTTTCAACGGAGGAAAATTGATTAAGCTATGCTAACTTGACCTATTTAACATCTTGAAAATTTACCCGGTCTAAAATTTTCAATCGTCAAGTTACTATCCTTAATCAGTCCAACTATCCAAGTTAATTCTTCTGCTCTAGGTTCGATTCTTCTAAGTCTTCACAATATTCTCTTCTGATACCTCTCTTCCATTATTCTTCATTTTATTCCCGTAAGTATTTTATTCTTTGTTCGCCGTTTGAATTATACGATCTTTCAACGGAGGAAAATTGATTAAGATAGCTAACTTGACCTATTTAACATCTTGAAAATTTACCCGGTCTAATCCTTAATCAGTCCAACTATCCAAGTTATATCTGCTGCTCTAGGTTAGATTCTTCTAAATCTTCACAATATTCTCTTCTGTTACCTGCCTTCCATTATTCTTCACTTCATTTCCGTAAGTATTCTTTGTTCGCCGTTTAAATTATAAGATCTTTCAACGGAGAAAAATTGATTAAGATAGCTAACTGGACCTATTTAACATCTTGAGAATTTACCCGGTTTAAAATTTTCAATAGTCAAGTTACTATCCTTAATCAGTCCAGCTATCCAAGTTACTTCTTCTGCTCTAGGTTAAATTGTTTTAAATCTTCACAATATTCTCTTCTGATACCTGCCTTCCATTATTCTTCATTTCATTCCCGTAAGTATTCTTTGTTCGCCGTTTGAATTATACGATCTTTCAACGGAGGAAAATTGATTAAGCTATGCTAACTTGACCTATTTAACATCTTGAAAATTTACCCGGTCTAAAATTTTCAATCGTCAAGTTACTATCCTTAATCAGTCCAACTATCCAAGTTAATTCTTCTGCTCTTAGATAACTTGACCTATTTAGCATCTTGAAAATTTACCCGGTCTAAAATTTTCAATGGTCAGGTTACTATTTTTAATCAGTGCAACGATCCAAGTTATTTCTTTTGCTCTAGGTTAGATTCTTCTAAATCTTCACAATAATCTCTTGCGATACCTGTTTTCCATTCTTCGTTTCATTCGTGTAAGTATCCTTTGTTCGCCGTTTGAATTATACAATCTTTCAACGGAGGAAAATTGACTAAAATAGCTAACTTGACCTATTTAACATCTTGAAAATTTACCCGGTCTAAGACCTTAATCAGTCCAACTATCCAAGTTATATCTGCTGCTCTAGGTTAGATTCTTCTAAATCTTCACAATATTCTCTTCTGTTACCTGCCTTCCATTATTCTTCATTTTCAATCGTCGAGTTACTATCCTTAATCAGTCCAACTATCCAAGTTATTTCTGCTACTCTTGGTTAAATTCTTCTAAGTCTTCACAATATTCTCGCCTGATACCTGCCTTTCATTATTCTTCATTTCATTCCCGTAAGTACTGTATTCTTTGTTCGCCGTTTGAATTATACGATCTTTCAACGGTGGAAAATTGATTAAGATAGCTAACTGGACCTATTTAACATCTTGAGAATTTACCCGGTTTAAAATTTTCAATAGTCAAGTTACTATCCTTAATCAGTCCAGCTATCCAAGTTACTTCTTCTGCTCTAGGTTAAATTGTTTTAAATCTTCACAATATTCTCTTCTGATACCTGCCTTCCATTATTCTTCATTTCATTCCCGTAAGTATTCTTTGTTCGCCGTTTGAATTATACGATCTTTCAAGGGAGAAAAATTGATTAAGATAGATAACTTGACCTATTTAGCATCTTGAAAATTTACCCGGTCTAAAATTTTCAATGGTCAGGTTACTATTTTTAATCAGTGCAACGATCCAAGTTATTTCTTTTGCTCTAGGTTAGATTCTTCTAAATCTTCACAATATTCTCTTGCGATACCTGTTTTCCATTCTTCGTTTCATTCGTGTAAGTATCCTTTGTTCGCCGTTTGAATTATACAATCTTTCAACCGAGGAAAATTGACTAAAATAGGTAACTTGCTCTATTTAACATCTTGAAAATTTACCCGGTCTAAAATTTTCAATCGTCGAGTTACTATCCTTAATCAGTCCAACTATCCAAGTTATTTCTGCTACTCTTGGTTAAATTCTTCTAAGTCTTCACAATATTCTTCGCCTGATACCTGCCTTTCATTTTTTCATTTCATTCCCGTAAGTATCTTTGTTCGCCGTTTGAATTATACGATCTTTCAACGGTGGAAAATTGATTAAGATAGCTAACTTGACCTATTTAACATCTTGAAAATTTACCCGGTCTAAAATTTTCAATCGTGAAGTTACTATCCTTAATCAGTCCAACTATCCAAGTTATTTCTTCTGATCTAGTTGAAACTCTCGTAAATCTTCAGGAAAGTCTCTTGCGATACCTTCTTTCCATTCTTCTTTATTTCATTCCGGTAAGTTTCCTTTATTCGCCGTTTGAATTATACGATCTTTCAACGGAGAAAAATGAAGATTGGTAGCTTGACCTATTTAATTAACATGTTGAAAATTTACCCGGTCTAAAATTTTCAATGATCAGGTTACTATCTTTAATCAGTTCAACCATCCAAATTATTTCGTCTGCTCTAGTTGAAATTCTTGCAAATCTTCAGAATATTATCTTGCGATACCTGCCTTCCATTCTTCTTCATTTCATTCCTGTGAACATTCTTTGTTCGCCGTTTGAATTATACAATCTTTCAACGGAGGCGAAACTATATAACATCTAATAACTTGATCTATAAAACATACTTACAGTGGCGACAATAATATTTCACCCATTCTCTACATTCTCACATGCTTATCTCTGATTCGGGCAACACGTGTGATCTAAAGTCGCAACATGGTCGTCTATGTGGAAAACATCCTATTGGAAATGTCCTATCAATATCTATAGCGAAATACCTTGTGGAATCTGCCGTGTGCAAAATGTTTGATCAGTATCTGTAGCGAAAAGATATAGGCACATACAAGTGTTAAGTCTGGTCGTGCGTTGCTTAAGGTGTTAAGAAAGTTAGATTGCATGAATCCCTACCTTATCACAGCCCATCCCCACGTTCATAGATTTTAACTGATTACACTCCTTTATAAGCCAACGCGCATCATTTTTACGCGCTTACACATCTTTTTGCTGAATCGAGGAATCTGTAAATATTGCCTATTGGTATCTTCAAAACGGGCATTCCAGGAATCTGTACTATAGCGTAAAAAACACATGTAAGTGCGAAGTCTGGTTGTGTGTTGCTTAAGAAGTTAAATAAGTTAAATTGCATTTCTGAATTTAATTGCAGTCCGTTCCCCATTTAAAGATTTAACTTATCCATTTAAACTTCTTTATAAGCCAACGCAAAATCACTTATATGTGTTAACATCTTCGCTGTGGATTCCCTGATTAGCGTATTCACCTTTTTAGCGATAGCCCATATATTGAATCGGTTCTGCATGCAGACGACGTGTCACCAACAATCATTATACCATTGAAGGCGTTGTTTTGAAAGCGCGTGACAATTTTTCGTCATGCATGGAAAACGGGCAACGGTAGACATCTTCCACAAGAGTATCTTCGACTTGTTAGGCAATGACATCATCATGATCAATCAAGTATATGAGAAGCTGCGTTGCGACTCTAGACTTCCCAAGACACTATACAGGGGCCGTGAATTTAAACCAGAATATTGATCGACATTTTCTACATTTTTCAGCTAGTAACATCCGTTTTGGGACACCAGAAACCTCTTTCTCAGGCGCTATATGTGATATCTTGTATAATTATTCTGAGCTATTGTTGTTCTTTGGGACGATGAAGGATCGATAAGATTTGTTGGCAAAGATAATGGATATGGTACTCGATAAGATCTGAGATTTCAATTTATTTTTTGAAATATGGACAATGGAAAGATCAGTTCGCTTTCTTTAGGTGGAAACAGTCAATGATTTGGTTAAAACCCGGGCTTGTTTTCTAAGAGGTTGGTTTTGATGAAGAGCCTAGAGCATTTAAGTTTCGGCATTTCGAGTTTTATCACGGATTTCCAATTCCAAATTCCAATATCTGAACAGCCATTATTGTTGTACAAAACAGTAAATTAATCGGGCGCTTTCATTACTATTAAAAAGATATATTTCACAATCCAAAATCTCTTCATGTCTACCGGATTTCAACTTTCATCAGAAAAATATAATAATATGATGTGATTATTCAAAACTTACTATAAGTTAAATAATACCTTCGCTGAATAATCACTTTATATCGATCGTGCATGTTAATTTGCATTTCGTGTTTGGGCATGTCATGTCATGTCATGTTCTTTGCTTTCTACAGGATGTGGATGACTGTGTTACAATTATATAGACGGACATGTAATATATCAATAACATATACATGATATGTAATATATCAACATACATATCATAGAATAACATGTGTCTGATACGATATAAACTTTCAATGTAATTTTCATGTAAAAATTTTAAAAAACCCGACAATGTCTCCTGTTTTCTTGGTTACATTGGTCTTTGAAAGTATAGGAAATCATGCATAGAGTCAGTCGTTCCTTACCTTCAATCGTATCGTACCAACACGATTTCTTTGTTAAAGCACGCAGAACATTTACCAACACCGCAATCATTTGGATTTTAATTCGAACAGATAGATGCAAAATTATATCGATCTCGTTGCTTCGCGACTTGGACTCTTAGAGAGACGGACTTGATCCTCTCTCCTCCACAGAGGCTTCTGTTGGCTATGTATGACTACGATTAGTATAGAGATACATTTCACTACACTTTACATGGCGGATCTTGGAACACGAGCGGAGCCAAAGAAAGATCCTGGGTACGAGGTTGGCGGAGCCTCTGGGCGAAGGAGCGCAGGCGAGGAAAGAACAAGAGAGGACTTGATCCAAGTCTAGCACTGATAATGAAGATCCACGCTTACGGAACTAAAGCTTTTCAAAATTACACAGACAATGACTGAATAACAATGTTCTTACCAAGGCGTAACCAACGACACACTTATCAGGGATTTCGAATCCAATATCGCAGGAAAAAAGTAAAGTAAATTGTAAAACTCTAATTATAAAGTGCCATTAACATGTGTAATATTTGGATTATTGTAAGAATTTAAGAAATGCAACATATCATCTTTGAAAACACCCTCATCTTGCCGATATTTTCACTGTAAAAGGTGCCGCGGATATGCCGTCAATAAATGAACCCCCCCCCCCCCAAAGATGACATTATGATCCGATTTTTGGCTTTTGTGTTGAAAATTGATTTATTGATTTCTTTCAATCTGTGCGACAACTAATATTATTATTATTATACAAAATTAAATCTCCCAACGGAGCTTTTCAGATTCAATTACATGCAGTATTGTTAAAACAATTGTCAACTAATGCTGTCACGTTTCATGGACTGTCACGGAACCACAGGCTATTATAATAACTATAATGCGGATTCAGTTGTTATCAAGCAATAATTTTCGGTAAGTTTTATCTTGAGGTTTCAACATCCAACTGAAAGATTAAAACTGCAACAAGATCAATGAAACATTTTTTATATATGAAGAAATCTCCGGAAAACTCACGGCCCATGATCGTGGTAAGTTTGAACTATTAAATACAGATGGTTTAAATCTTGTTTAAATAACCGTAAACCTCCGACTATAAGCCCCCCCCCGAATATAAGCTCATCACATATACTAACGCTCACCTCATTCCAAATATAAGCCCCCCCCCGAATATAAGCCC